ATTCAAAAAAACCAATAACACATGGTTGGTGCAGAGACTTGCGCCATGATTTGTAAAAGGATTGGTTAGCCTTAACCTAGTCTTTCCCTGTTGCGTTGTTCAAATATGTGAATGAAGTATAAAAGAATTTACTATCTATAAAAATTATTACATGTCTTTGAGAGTCAAAACCGTGTATATGTTGTACTTATTTGGTATGAAATGAAATGGGTGTAAAGATTTACATATATGTAGGTGCTTAGGTAGAATGTTCAATCTCAAGGTTTTCATCAGCAAGGTAGTTGGACTTAGAAATTATCACAGCGCTTGATGATTCGAAAACAAATGCTGTATGGGTACAAAGATTGATAGAGACGCGCTAATTGTGGGTAAAGGCTACCTACCATGCTACAAATTATTACAAGACTATATGTACAAAAATAACAGAGCATACAGAAAAGACAAGATTAGTGAGTCATGAGTCGCTTACTTAGATATTCCTACCAAAAACGCTCCAATAAGTGTTGTGGTTATAGCAACCATTAGGATGTTGACATTGCGTCTGCCAGTAATTTCTCTGCAAAGCAGTTTCAATCAGGTGTGAAACTAACTAATCAACGTCAAATCCAAGAAAAACTGACTTAAAATAGAATATGCTCCACATGGCAGCACATACTCCGGGCACCATACTGATGATCGGAAAGGTAACTGCCTGCGACAGTTTGTCGTTGGCTACGAACCAGGAAGTCTGAGCGATGGCCCACATAGCACCAGCAATCATACTCGGGCCGACTATATGCGGATTTACAGTAGGATTATTCTAAAAAAAAATTAATCGTCGAAAAAGTTGGGATGATCGCTGCATTTTCCGAATTTTATCTGTACAACAAATCTAATAAGGTATCGAAATCTTGTCTTTGAAATAAGACATTCGCATGAAATGATGGAGATGCTATGATTAACGAAGTATTAGGTCGGAACATAAGTCTTACACCAAAATTTTTTAAATTCCGTAATTACCTCCAGGTTCAATGAATCTGTTCGAAATAAAACTCTTTCTGACTGTTTTCAAAGCAAGAACAATCACAGCTATATTGCGATAAAAGAATCTGATGAACGC